TTGCGACTGCGTTGCACTTTACGGCTGCCAGCGGGCACTAACGGACGGGTTTTATGCGATTTTCTTGTCATTCGGCCTTGTTTATGTCGCTTTTCGCATGCATGCGAGTATTTCCCGGCCCCGGCCGTACGTGTGTTTGCTTTATGGGCGTAACACAATCATGCATATTTCCCAAGCCTCCAATGTACATATTTTGGTCGAGTTTACGCACTTTATTAACATATATGGTACATACTCCTCAACCGAAAGGCGGAGGAGTGTCGTCGTGCCAAGAAAGGCACATAAAAAATGAATCTGCTGGTCGTGCGTCGTCATTCGATGCTCGGAATTTAATATAAAAGGCACAATGATAATATTATAAAATGCTTAAACAGAATATTGAAATGAGCTCAAAGAAACGATTCACTTTATTGCGAATTTTCCAGCTTTTGTGAATGGAAGAAGAGCGTCCGCAGACGATTTTCCATTCAATCATTTTCGTCTTCCGTCTCTTGAATATAGAATTGACTGATGAAGGTCGTCATGAATAAAGGTTCTGAGATTGAGACAAAGACACCCTATTCATTCTGATTCAACCGACGGCAAAAGGCTTAAAGAGTTATGTCTCGTCTTTAATTAACTGCATGCTCCCATAAAGAGAAGGAAATAAATTATGCAGTTTAATTAAAATTTCCAGCAAAGACCAAGACGAAGCCATGGACATCTGCTCTGTTGTTCCACGCTGATGCTGATCAAATGCATAAAGCTAACAAATGCCAGGAAGTAAACAACAGCAACAGCCAGCCATGGAGAAATAACTGGACGAGTGGTGATGATATTTCTGCTGAACATAGCACCACGCAAAGTGTCAATAACAATTTACACTTGAGACGATATCTCAATATTGTTGCACGCCAGCAACAGGGCAACAAAAGCAATCAGGCGAATGGTGGGATTTCGAGAGCAACAGGACACAATGTCGTCGCTAACTGAAGCGATGGGGGTCAGCTAGTTTGTTTATTTAGCCGGCAAACCAGGAGGACTCACCAACTGTCGCCTCCTAGTCAGCTCCATGTCCAGTTCATAGTTCCCATTCCCAAGAAAGGTCTTAAAAATCAAGGTAAACAAGTCGAGCAACAGGACAGAAGACTATTAGACATCAGGCATTAGATAAAAGGTAGAGTCCAGTTAATAGGAGGTATTTATAAACTAGGTCAATACCTATCAATACACCAAAAAATTTCCAAATCTAACCAATACTTTTAAAGTTATTAGTAAGTGAATTTTAAATTATGACGTCATTTTTATATTTGAGAGAGCAAAAGAAAGAAATAACTCTTAGTGACTCTTTAGTTCGGCAGATGACGCCACCTATAACATGATGGATTTCTGGAGGGTACATTTGTTATGTAATTTCTTAGCTGAGTAATGGTTTTCCTTTTCTATATTTGATTTAATCACTAATGTGTACACAAAAAGTGTATAAGATATGTAGTTTGTTTTACTTCGTTACAACAATTCTTTATTCCTTGAAGAAGCAAGGAAAGAAATGAACTTTGAAACAACTTAAATAAAACTCAAAAGCCAGTGCAACAAGATTTCAGCTCTCAAGGGTCAGAACACGCCCCTTGCAAAGACTTCAACAAATAGCGCGTATCGCTGGGGGATAAGAATGATTCTGGATTGGACTGGAACGGGAATGTAAGCCCTGCTCAATGAGCAGGACTCATTCGCTGGGCAAACAGAATTCCTTTTCGACATTCCTGCTAAGCTTTAAGTGGACACGCATTTGCCCCAAAAATAAACACACTTTGAGTGGATGGAAAAGCGACGCGGCCCAGGGAGATTGAGCAATCCATCTGGTCATCTGAGGACGAAAAAACTTTGACACTCCAGCGCCAAATGGAGCAACCTCTGGAGGGTGCTTTTGCTGTCCAGCTCCTTGGGTATTTATGCCAATTAGCTCTTGTAAATGCTAATTAGGAGCCGGAGCAAGCGTCACAGGACAGCTGATAAATTAGCCATGAATATTCAGCGGCCACGCGCAACATTATTTTCCGCAAAATTAAATTATACATTTTTAAGTTGGCCGCCCCAGTGCAAAAAAAAAGCGAAAGCTGAAGTGTCTGCACTTGAAAAAAAGTAATCTAACCAAGAATCTGAAATTAAGTTGCATTTACCTTGGGCTAAAAATACGTTGTAAAGAAACTGCGTAGGTAAACCCGCAGATTGATACGAATAGTTTTTAATAGATTCTAAAGACAGTGCACTTACTTGGGGTTAAAAATAGTTTTGTAATATATTTTTAAAATATGATTTTTCTAGTCAACTGAATAACATTAAATAATGACTGTTTTTTTTTACAGTAGTCCATATTAATATGTGGCAATTTTTCACCAAGTGTAGGCAAAGGGTCATCATAATTATCCACTCGAATATTTACCCTGTCGTCTTTGCTTTGGTTCTGCTCCCGATTATGATGGCCTTCTGGCCAACTTGGCCAAGCCTTTAGCCAAAGCTATTGAAGAGTACATTTCCTCGGGTCAACAGTTGCTAGCTGGCAATGTTCCGGCAAATGTATTGCGCAAAACGGCGTGCAATTGCCTTTAAAAACGCATCAAATTATGCTAGAGAGGAGGCAGCCACTTCGAAATGTAGCTGCCCCTTCAAATTAGTGCACACAGAGGATGGAAAATGGCGGATGGCGAATGGAAGGTCTAGAGTTGGCTACTTGGCGTATTTACCAGGCGCTTAACCGACTTTCCGCACGCAGGGGACTTTCCTGGTTCCGGGTGGCAAAAATATATTGGCAGTGCCGGTTGCTCCACTCCATTCCGCTGGCAAAAGTGCTCCACAATGGCACTCGTTCAGACAATGTTAAATGCGCGCTCGTTGTGTGCTGTCTGTCAACTTGGCTCAAGTGGCCCCAGTTCCCAGTCCCCAAACCCCAATCCCCAATCCCCAATCTCTCTGGCCAATAGCTACTCCTCCTCCAGTCAAACCACTCGATCGACTACCGCCACTGACAGCGGCACAATGCGGATGCGGATGTGCGGACGCGAACGCGGATGCGGATGAGGAAGCGGAGTGCACTTGTCGCCATCATTGACATCAATGCATCGCAGCTGGCTTTTTAGCTGTCGCGCCCAATGAGGAGCAATGAGTAGCGACGAAGGGCGAAAAATGGAGGTGAAGTGGGTGGTAGTGTTGGCCAAACACTTTGGCATAATTTCCAGCGAATAACTAATGGGCGTGGCTACCGCACATTTGGCACCACTCCCCGCCATCGATAGCCTTTTCATCTAGAGCACTGTTTCAAGAAGAACTGCTGGCGTTATTGCACCAGTAAAATTGCGATAACGCCCTGTAAACTTTATAGTATTTCCCAGATTTGTTTGCATTTTTTTTAATGTTAAAGTTATTTATAGAATTATATATTGATATGGAAAGAACTCACAAAATAGTTCACTTAATTGTCGTTTATATACTGATAAAACTTAAGGCAATGAATGCAGTAACGGCAATTTTTAGTATCATTTAATATATTTTATATATTTTATTTATATTCTTATTATTTACAAAGAGATGAGTTCCATCTTCACTTCTCCTGTGTTCTTATCTTCCACGTGTTTTAAAGAATTGTGCATTAAAAGTTTATCTGTTAATATTTACCATATCATAACAAAAGAGAAAAAAATCAGAAAAACCCAACATAAATATATTTTTAATGGAAAAGAATACGCGTAAGCTTAACAATTTTTATTTCTCTACAGGAAGCATTCATGCCGTGTCATATTGAAAGCAGCTTTTACTGTCCGAGCAGCAGGCTCAAAAACCCTTTATGCAATCTGCATACAACCGAACAGATTTCTTTGTGCGAAAATTGATTGCATATTACGTATACGTAATGCCGCAAAAGCGCCATTGCCATTTGCTGCCGGCACACGCACAGCAGCAGGAGCAGCAGCCTCATCAATAACTAAAGTCGACAGATTCTCTCCTTCCACTTACTCATATTCGAAATGAAGGTGTAATGTGGGCGGAGGAGCAGGAGGTGGGCGTGAGCGTGGGCGTGGCAGCCAAGTTGTTAGCACGCTCGACTGATATTATTTTTTTTTTTGCTCCTTTATGAATTATTCGCAAACGCATTGATTCGCGTTCAGCCAAAGGCAACAAGGAAAAGAGACCTGGAAAAACGATGAAGGCGTCTTGCTGTGAAATTTTCATTTGGGTTTTATTTACGTTCAATCGAGTTCGCGCGAAATTAGTTAAGATTAGCGTGAATTTTATTATACCAGAGGTCGGAGAAAAGCTCACGTAGCAGACGCCTCGAGCGAGCAAACTTCTTAATTAAAAGATTTGGCCCCTGATTGGTTGTTTGCCAAGGTAAAATGTGCAAAGGAAAAGGGCTACGTAGGAATTTATATTCAATTTGTTAAATGCATTCGAGTGCCATTGTCGGCGGCGATAATTGCCAGAGCTGAAACTGTGGTCATCGGTTGGTTGGCTGACCGGATGAACTGCCGCCAATAGTTGGTGACCCCGACGGATTACCGCCCACCATCCACATCCACCCACACAGACTAGCCATAAATCTCATTTCATTTTTGCACTGCGAGCGCAAATAAATTCATAGATATGAGCTGGAATGACCCCAGCTGACCATTCGACATTGCACTTTGAACGAATTTATTTACGGCCAGTTGTTATTTTTACGAGAGTCTCTACACAAAGTGTGCAGCATGCACACACACAAACTTGAATACAGTTCTCCAATGCAGGATTCAAATTTAATTTAAGGCTCAGCTCGGAAATCTTATGTTTGCCTTTGAGGTCATTTAAGTGTGCTTCATTAAGAGGTAGAAACCGCTGGAGCACAAATAAATTTGCCCATTAAGCAGCCTGTGCAATTTAAGAACTTCAACTTTATAACTAGATTACTCAGACGCTCAAGCGAAGCTTTAATATTACATTTAATCATAGTTCGTTTGAGCTGAAATATTAATTATAAAATAACTTTGTAAAAGTTCAAAATATTTATTAACCCATTCACTTTATGCAATTTTCTGTAACCAAAACACTACATGCTTTGACATTATTGACAAATTAGAAGCTTTTAATCCTCAACTGGTTGAAGTTAAACCTACTCATGTATGTGGGACCAAGGTTGGGGCTTAAGATACGGCGAGGTCCTAGTTTGCTGAGGAAATACGATTAATAAGTGTTATTTTAAGAGCTTTATCATGAAGCTTACCAAGCACTATGAAAATTACTTAAATTCTCGTTTGCTTCCCGACTGTCTTTGTCTATCTTGCTTATCTGTTGGCAACTGCAATCGTTTTTGAGCAATGAATGAAGTTGGTTGACCTGCTGATGACCCTGGCAACACTGGATCATTCCCTTGGCAAACATTTTGGTCAGCAGCTCCTCTAGAACTTCCTCGGCACTTTGTTGGTTGCTCAAATGGGGATTCACGTAGTGCATCACTCGGTGAACGGTCATTTCGTAGTCCACCGGTAGACCCGTCACCCGATCCATGCGAAATAGCTTGGGAATCTTGGATTTTTGCTTAGGTTTGGTCTGCACCACAGTTCGCCTCCAAACTTTTTGATTTTGTGGCACAGAGGATTTTTTTTTAAAACAGGTCTTCAAAAAACGTTGCTGCTGTGGATCCGTTTTGGGCGCTTTCATTCTCTTATTTTTGCTAATGGTTTTGGCCTTAACTCGCCTTACGGAAAGCATTGTCTTTTTTTAGTTTTTAAAATTATTTTTCAAGGACTGTACAATTTAGTTTGACTCCAAACGATATGTCAACTTTTGTGTTGCTCAAAATATAAAATGTTTACACAAGGCCTTCTGTATGCTTAAATTGCAAAATATTAATAAAGGGTCAAACAAATCTCTTTCTTACAATTAAACGTAACAGTTGTAGTAAACAAATGTGGCTTAAAGTCCGCAAAAATCACGGCGTATTAAACTCGTTCTTTTGCTGAATTGATTTTAATGTTTTTGCCTGTGTAAAATATTTATTGGGAAGATCTGATGCCTTTGGCAGATGCAACAACTATTTAACTGCTTACGCTAACCCCCGCTTGTTGTGGAGAACATGATTACAATTGCCGTGCCAGATTTATGATTTCATTACTCACACACACACGGGTGTTCCAGACTTATATAAGTTGTGAGCTGATGTGGCCACAGCCCAACTTAACTTTTGAAACAATGTCAAATGCAATAAACGTGTGAGTGTGGAGTGTTAAACCGCATTGTTTGAATGCAGCGCTGGTGAACAATGTAAATTGTAAATGCGAGCACAGGGATATAACATACATAAGTACGCAGATACGTATGAATTATACGAGTTACGGGCGGGCGGGCTGTTCGGCTTACAAAGTTGTAACACCCATATGCCCACACAAACGCGTACAATAACAAATAGTGGCACACACTCAGTTGGATTGCAAAAGACGCAGCAAAAATAGAACAAAAGCAATATAATTAATCATCGAAGAGCAGGCCAAGCAGAAACAGCATTCTGTTAAAGCAACAACAGTAGAGAAGGAGAAACAGCATCCCAGCATCAGGATCACATCTAGAATTAGAGTCCTCCCTCGTGGCAAGCCTCGAAATGACATTTGCGAGGCAAATAATGCAACACTCGTAACAACATAATTCAAATTAACAGTTCGCAGAGTCGCGTATATGTTGCTCTATTGCTGATATTACATCTGTTTTGAAAGCCACTAGAGACAGCATGATACCAGAACTGGAGATAAAACAGAAATTTGCATAGATCTAATAAAACAGTTATTATGGTCCCTCGAGCCGGATTATTATCAAAAAATGTTTGAAATACTAGTGGTTTTACTTTGTAACAAACCGAATAGCGGATCTTGACCGATTTGAAGAGTATTAATGATAAGCCCTTGTTTTTGGCACGGGGGCGTAGCCCAAAAGGGCGTGGCACTCGGCAGTGTTGCAATGCTAGATGCACTACTGATGTAGCACCAGTATCTGCAACTGCAACACTGTGTGCAATCAATTATGCTGGATGGGCTCCACCGATACCAGACGCTCACCCACAATGATGCACTGTGTATGCAGCTGTCAGTAGTCGGAAGCCCATCATCAATGGCAGCCGAACTAGATTCCATTCCAAACCATTCCGTTCGATTCGAAGCACTCAGGGACTTATCCCCGGCTAAGTTCAATTAGGGACGGGTGTACGCAAAGTGAAATTGAAAAGCATAAATGTCATTTTCTACAACAAACGTCAAATTTGATATTTTTAAAGCAGACAAAGCCGAGATGGGAATTTCTATAGCCAAGGAAATGACTTCACACCTTCCACCCACATCCACAAAAATGGAGAGAGAAAGAAATGGATCAAATATAGATTTATGTGCTTCATGTCAAAATAAATGGATTTTACATGTTGCCACAAAGCGTTCCATGCTCGCCCGCCGACTGAATCCTTGCGTCACAGGACGTGAGGGCGCAGCGTCAGGACGATGATGGCGACAACAACAACAATAACAACAACGGTAACAACAACGACAACGGCAACGACAAAGACGACGGTGACAAACAGCAACAACAATGAAAATATAACGTGGCATTAAAATGTCATTTCATACTCATACAAACAAGCTCATATAACGCTCCCTTTTGTTGGCAACGTCGGGGAGGGCAGCGAAATATTAAGTTAATATGTTTGATCTGGGTGGGGGATGGGAAACTCCACTTTGATCCCTTGAAATTTAGCAAAGTGCAGACAGGATATTGGCAGCTGCTTGCAGCCACACAGGATATTAAAGTCATAAAGATGAAATATTTCAGCGCATTCCCCGCCAGCAATCAGGTGCGATCCGCACCCGAATCCGAAGCTAGACAAATTCCCCCAACAATGGGGATTATTCAAATTATTTCCCACTTCTTGAATCTGACAGCACGTCACAGTCACCTCTCGTCTCCTCCAAAAAAAAAAAAACCTAGTACGTCTATTTGTGTTTGTCCTCCCGATTCTCGATTCCCGAATCCCGATTCGTTGCCTACTTGCCAGCATCTCCCGCTCCACGTGTGACACATGATGCCATGTCATATAATTTATCAGCGCATTTTTGGCATTCAGCTCGCGTCCCGACATTGCTCTGAAAGGCAAACAAAAAATGTCTGCTCTCGCTGCCCTGCAGTGCCACCAAAGTGCCACATGGTCTGCCCCAACTCAGTCAAACCAAATATGAGAAAATGCACAGCGACTTAAGTTTTCAAAGACATGTGTACTGTTTGTAAGTAGACTAATATTAAGGCTCTGTTTTGGACGTTGTTAATGCATATAAGCCTAATTTTCCAGAGTCCTTCAAGCCGGATAATTATTAATTGCATTCTTTTTTATACTTTTTTACATTTCTACAAGTGTATACATTTCTTTACAATTATTATTTAAAGTATAGTTATGGTTTTTAAAGATTGAGTATTACTATTTGTATTTTTAAATTAGTTACTCCCATTTTCCTCAGTGTTTCAGCGACATTCCAAATTCGGATATGCCAGTTCCCTTGAGTTTTGTTTTCGTTTCTCTACTTTCTTTTCTGCTTTTCATTTTGATAAATATGTGGATGGCAGAAATCTATCATTTCGCGTGTCGCATAAATAAATACATCAAGAGGCACCACCCACGCACATCCTTTTTGCGGGGGAAAGGGAAGGGAAGGAAAGGAAAAGGAGAGAGTTCAGAGGGCAAAGGGCAAAGAGGAGCAACAGCACACAAACTGTTAATCAACGGCAAATGGGGAAATCCCCTCCCCAAACGCTTCTTCTGTTGTTGTTGTTTCACTGTGCTGGGGAGTTGGCAATTTGTTTAGTCGTTAAACTTTTTTAGCGTTTCGTTATTTAATGCAAATTGATGATAACGGGCAACGCGCGCTAATGAGTATACCAGTATGTACACCGGATGATGGGGGAAAAACAGGGCACGCTCATAACCCATTCTTTGGTAAGACCGAACCTAAATAGAATGTACCAATTTACCAGCACAAGCGCAGCACAAATATCCAACATCCTCATACTCGTTGAATGTATACAAATTTAATGAATGTTCTCGTTTTCGGTGGCCCATAAATAATCAACGAGCATTCTACGGAAACTGAATCACTGTGCGAAAATCGTGTATATTTTAACTAATATTTAAAAATATTTTATTTAATTTTTGTCTTTCACTTACTCTGAGGGCACACTCATATTTGTGAAATGATTTATCCTTTTGACTTGGTCCTTTTCATTTTTTCTCTGTAGTTACACACACACACTCGCCTAAAGCCATAAATAACACACACAATTGGCGCATTTGTGGTCGTTGTTTCGCCTTTTCTGGTGCGACACCTTTTATGTGTCCGGGGAGCCGCAGTTTGTTAAATGAAATTCGTTAAAAGTCTTGCCAGCATGGTGGAGTAGGGAAAATAGGGAGAGAGAATGGGAAAAGCTGCTGGCATCGCCAAGAGCACTTTTCCTGCGTTTCGGCTCGGTTCGGTTACGTGTGCAGTCAATTCCACTCGGCTGCCCATTGAAAAGTTTTGCACTTCGCTGCACAAAGGACATGGCGGAGGCGAACCTTCAGCCGCAAAAACATCAAGGCCACCAAAACGGGTTGAGAGTGGGTTGGGTTGGTCGGTTGGATGGGTGCCTTATTCGTAATCCCCCTTCTGACGGATGTCTAGCACAAAAACTAAACACTAAACATCATAATACAACTATGGCAAACCTCCAACCCTCCTACAGTTTATGTGCCATGAACGAGGAAACATTGTTGCATAACTTCATTTCCATTTCCGCGGAATTATTTCTGAACTTTGGCACTTATATTGAACCGCCATGCAAAATGCGTAAAGGAAAATATGCACAGCGAACGGAATTACCCTGCAACTTTGTTGTGTGCTTCGATATCTTTCGAAAAACTGAGGGACAGAATGCCCAAGCGGAATATGGTCAGTCAGTCCATTTCCCTGACTACCGAAAAACACTCGATAGCTGAAGACCACGGCCATTACAACAGCCGATGATGTGGGGCAATGGGAATGCGAATGGGAATGGGAATGAGCATGGGGTTTTCTCAATTGGATGGGGAGTGCAGATGACCACCGGACGGCGGTGATATGACCGCAAAACCAATACGAGTGCCAGGACGATTCGATTTAATGGAAAATCGACCGCAGAAACAGCAACAGCTTAAGCGATTCAGAAATTGCAACACACGCCGGCCCCCTTGATTTCCCGATTCCTCCACATCTGACACACTTTTGGGACACTTACACACACACTCGACACACACACCGAACAGCAGAGAGCACCGAGGATGAGATTCTGGCGTCACGGGCCACGCAATTAGGGGGCTTAACCACTGGCCATTCGTCGAGCCTTGAACTGCGCTATCTGCAGCTAAAGTATGTGGGCGCCCGTTGACGATATATTGAAACTTGAAAGCATTAAGCGAACTGCGAACGGCGGACGACGGACGGCGGACGATGGACCACCGAAAACCAAAACGAACCGCGGCACAATTACGGCGGACTGCGGAATCCGTAGTCGTGTTAAACGCGAGGAGAGGTCAATTGATTGTACCAGGATATAGGTTTGAATCATTCCTGATAAATGTACAAAATTTTCAAAATTTCCGAAAAATATATAAAAAATTAAAAAGAAAATATCAATTTGTAATGATATCAATATACTTGCCTAAATCAATTATGTGTTTAAAACCAAAACTAATTTTAAGCTTTCCTGCTAAACTTAAAAAAAATCTGTAAACAGTGATTAGACAGTGGTTAATATCTT